CATCTCAACAGTGTGCTCTATCTCATACCGAGTTCCCAATGAGTAAAGCCTTAGAATAACTCTAAATAACGAACATAAAATCATATTTTCATGTTAACAATATTGTTTTTATTGCAGTTTAATGATTGTGATTGGAAAGTCTAAGGAGGCTGGTAAACATTGCAAAGAGGGATTTGTATTCATTAATAATATTCGTAAACTTAACCATGTTGTAGCCTGAGAAAGGCTAAACTATATCAAAGAATACATTTATTAACTACATTATCTCATTTAGCTGTAGCTTTTATAAACAAAATAAAAGACAACTTAACCAGTCGTTGAACCAGGGACCTGCGGTTGAGAGTCGTCTGCTTTCGAGCTGAGCCACAGCCCACACACTGGATCTACCTGAAAATACTGGATACTATTTATTCCTGTATTTATTCTTACATTTATTCATGCTTTTATTTATTTATACTTATGACATGTTCTGACCTCTATATAAGTGAGGGTCTGAGCTCTCATAATTCCATCGTGTCACCGGGCCCGGGTACAGGAGGGGTAATATGGTTAAGCAATAGCTCATGACAGGCCGTGGTATATTATGCTCATTATATCACAGCTAAGGGGCGTGGTTCGGCCCGACGCGAAGCGGAGGGTCGACAACCCCCTTAGCTGTGATATAATGAGCATATATCACGGACTGAAGTGAGCTATTGCTTTTATAAAACGGTTACCAAGTGTGGCAATATGAAAGAAAAATACACACTCTAATTTAAATAGTTTTTATTAGTAAATAATGATATTCAAAATAAAATAGTCCCTACGTTGCCTTCTGCACGAAACGTAGTGAGAGGTGGTTGCTATGCAACAACACTAACAGCTAGCGAACATATTAGACAGAGAGCGTTGATCCATTATTTGGCTATTTATTTACATTCATTTGTATGTTGCCGTTTATTGTGCACCCACTGAAAAACTGTCCAGCATCAGTAGCATGGCTTACGTGGTTACTTGTATAGGTTGAGGTTGTTCTAGGCTGTTGCTTGGCGTGGTGAGAATATTGCTCCACTTTCTCCGGTCCCCGAGATTTGGCTTCCAGTAGCTCTGGATAGAGCTTTCACACCTGTGGCCACTAACGGTCATCATTTCTCTGCTTTGTTTCAAGAGCCGCATCAGAAAGCTTTTGAATGGTGGTACTTTTCCAGTTGGTCTACCTGCTCTTCACGCATGTCGTCGTTTAGGTGCTTTTTCTTTTTCTGGAGATAGGCACTCCTCAATCCACTCCTCCATAGTAAGACCCCCCCGGAGGTCGAAGTTAATCTTAAATGTTTCCATCTTATGCTTTGTAAGTTTGTTTCGTAATGGAAGAAATGTAAATATATTTATAAAACTGACTAGTCAAATCAAGCAATCTGATTGGTCGATAGTGTTTTTGCGGACCTCTTTGATTACAGATTTGAAAACATCGTTGCTTGCTTTAAAAGTAGCACAATTCATTATGTCAAACCTTGGAAAGTATCTAGATGTCCCTGCCCTAATGCCAAAGGAACTGCACACTGAATATGTTTTTGCCGTTTGATGTCTATGTCTGGACCGCTGCGTAAAAAGGAGGGTTTCTGCCCCGTTACTTCTCCGCTGCTTTCTTGTTCCACTTTGAAAAGCAAACTGCAGGCATTTTCAGCCCAACGGTATACTGTTTTTCTCAGACGCGGAGGAATACTGACTTGTTGTGAAAAGTAATTTACAACTCTACCCGTGGTATACGCTCAGTATATCACGGCTAAGAACCAATCAGATTGCTTGATTTGACTTGTCCGTTTTATAATTCTTATTATACATCCATGGGTATGAGCGTTGTGGTTCAACCGATCTGAAGCACTTTCTGAAGCAGTCACGTGGTATTGACAGGCAACGAGGCTTTGTTTGTTATCGGTGACGTCACTGGCCCAAAACGATACAAGCCTCGATACAAGATTCACAAAAAGCTTCAGGGATTACTCGACAGACACACGCTCTGAAGCCTCGGCGCAATACGTAACATCACTACTTATAAACACATGACGGGAGGCGCAGTGGTCTGTGCGTTTGATCATCAGATCAAGGGGGCGTTGGGGAACTCCAGTTCGAAACCCGCTCCCGCCCCACTGCGTCAGGCCGTTGTGTCCTTGGGCAAGACACTTCACCCGAATTTGCTCCTGTGGGTATTGTCCACAGTAGATGACCATTACATGTATGATCTGTATGTGTAATGTGTTTTTGTAAAGCGCTTTGAGAGTCTTTGATAAAGCGCTATAATAAATATAAGGATTATTATTATTATTATTATGAATACTCAGTAGCGAGCCGTGACTTGTATACCTAGGCCCTCTGACCCCCCCCCCCCCTTCCCTCGAGTTATTACGTCACAGCGTATACTTCAGCGGAATATCAAAACAACGGCCCGGGGTGCAAAAGCGACTCTGTAACACACAAAACAACACCTGTAAATAACCCTATTTGTGTTCTTTGAAATTGAAAAGGATATTGCATTGTGTTTGTTACTTTCGTTGCAGTTGTATGTCTTAAGTGTAATTTGGCATGCTCTTATTTTGAAGGCAAGTTAACGCTGTTGACAGGAAGTTGTTGTTGCTATGGAAACAAGAAAAGTTTCTCAGCGGGCGGAACTTGTCATAAAGTCAGCGATAATAACACCCACCCATTTAGATGGGAAGATATGATTGGTCAATTGTACTGTCATTTGACATTACTCTCTCGTTCAGTTACTATAGCGGCCCTCTGTGAATTCATAGCTGGACCGCCTGGATATGGAAGCAAACAAGAGACAGAAGTATTTGAATTTTATCAGACACCGAATTTATAGCATTGAAAATAATTACTTTGAAAATCATGTGCCTGAATGTTTTTGCTCCGAATTTACCTACGTGAAATAAAAATGTAAACATTCAAGTGAAAAAAATTTGAATGTTCAAATTCAGATCCCAAAAATGTAAGTGAAAAAAATTCGACGTCAAACAATTCGGTATATAAAATTCGATGTCCAAAATTGCGATGCAGCATCATCCGGGCTACTCAGACAGGATAAGCAATCGAGCCCTAATCAAACCGACTTCTGGCCTATCAGAGCACGGCTTTGTCAGTCATGTGATCACAACAACCCGGGAGAAAAATGACGGAGAACAGTGGGGCTCGCTGCTCAGGAAAGTAGTCAGTTTGTGCTCTTTATTTTACAAGCAGTGAGAGCTCGACAGCATTTGTATCTTACATTAACTAGCTAAATGAGTGAAGTAGCCTTGTGCATTGCTGTTAGCAAGCTCCGTAGTTATCATTAATTGAAGTGAATCACAACGTTACCGTGTCCTTTTGTGTGTGTGTGGGGGGGGGTGACGGTTTGCAAAGTAACGTAACGATCACTTCGGTTAGATAAGTCAAGTAGACCATGCTACACTATACGAAATACTCTCTTGCCCTGCATTTAAACATGTTAATGTTTAGTATAATTAGGAAAGTGTTGTTAAAGTATTTAAAGTAGACACAAGTTATACTATTATATTATATCATTTGTTTTATTGTTATTACCGATGCAAGAGTTGACTTAACTGTTGTAGTTGGAGCTCATTTTGAACAAAGAGCTAACTAATGATTACTTTCATAATGGTTTAATGTGCTGACTATTGTCTACATTAATAGATGAAGGTCTGGTTTGTTTAAACCCTCAAAATAGTAGGACATGCTGTCATAATTACCCAGAGTCCGAAGTGACACCTTTACAATGTTAAAGCTGTTAGATAAATGTAGTGATGTAAAAACTAAAATATTCAAGATAGTGTAGTGGAAAAGAGATAATGTTTTTTTTCTTGAATTTTTACATTTTTATTTTACATAGGTAAATTCGGAGCAAAAAAAATTCAGATACATGATTTGCAAAGTAATTATTTTCAATGCTATAAATTCGGTGTCTGATAAAATTCAAATACTTCTGTCTCTTGTTTGCTTCCATACCTGGACGTCCAACAGCTCCTCTCTTCACAGACTCGCAGAGACGAGCTTCTTTCATGTAACCCTTCACATTCCAACAGAAACTGAATAGGCAGATTCGAAGGATTTATTTCTTTGGAAATGTTATTTTAAATACAATTAAATCAAGTTATGTTGATAAAACTAATGAATGACTTTTTTTTTTAATGTTTTTAAATATTATTTTGTAGAATATCTTAGGCCCTCACAGAGGGTCTAGAGGGCCCTGACGGCTCGCCACTGTGAATACTACTGTGTAATATATCTGTACATGTATATTTAAGGAGTAGGCTACAATATAAGAGAAGCACAAGTTTCATTTGTGGGCCACATTTCATTATACGTTTTGAATTAGCTGAGGGTCGATTCAAAATGGCCAGCGGGCCGCATTTGGCCGCACTTTGGATACCCCTGATTTAAAGTGTTAATTAAGAGTAAAGGGAACATACCTGCTCTGTGTATCCGAAGCTGAGGCTGTAAAACAGTGTCTAGTAGTTTCTGGAGTCTCTCGTTCTCCTCTTTTGAACGAGACAGCTCCTCCTCGTGCTCTGCTACAGTTTTTTCAAACAGAGCAAATATATCTTCAGCAGCAGCAGTGAGTCGCTGCTTCTTCAACGACAGCAGCATTTGGACTTTACTCATGTTTACTAGATCACGTTTTCCTGCAAACTCCGTTAAACACACCGTTTCTCTCTCAATCAAACTCTCGATCTGACTAGTGTTGCTAAGGTGTTTACAGCTAGCATGCTAAGCTAGCTCCTATCGTCCGAGGTAAACGCTCCTGAAAAAAGAGCACATAGTCCATTCAGAGGTTTATGCAGACACACATATGATGGATCAGTAGTGCTGGAGCTCACACACACTTTCTCAGGAACAAACAGAGAGAGAGCAGTGTAACACTGCGGTCAACTCAGCCGTCTCTCAAATTTGCTTGGTCAAATCATAGATACAGTCGGCAAGCGAGGGAACGCCCACAAAACGTCACATCCGGTTCGCGCTGAGGGGGAAAACAAACCCGCTTCCACAATGCCCAGGAGCGGCTGTGTGTCCCTTTGTACAACTAACAAGCTTAAAAATCCAAATCTAAAATTGGATATTTTGCCCAACGGGAGCACAGAGCCCAGGAGAAGAACCCGGTGGCTTCAAGCGATCCGTCGGGAGGATGAGTTAGAGTTTGGCCACCTGTGGGATCCAACATCCAAACATGTGTACGTCTGTAGTCAGCACTTCATTACAGGTATGACAACGTTATTCACACAATAACAGTGTTAAATTGTTTCGTAGTTAACATGAATGTTCAATTACTAGTTTTAAGAGATGTTAACTAACTACTACGTTATGCTTTCTGCAGTTAAAATGTATTTCACACCCCCTTCTATCCCCTTCTCATTTCGTTTGTGAACTGTCTTGCCCTAGGCTTAAAAAAAGAGGACATAGCCCACCCAGACTACACACCCTCGCTGTTCCCACATAAAAAGACAAAGTCTCCCAGGTCAGTACTTCAGAGGCTGGAGAGAAGGAGGAAGCGTGAGGGTGTTCAGTCTGCCCAACCAGAATCCCCAACATCAGAAGCTCCCATACCTCTTCAGGAGTTGGAGAGAAAACAACTTTATGAAGAATTGTATAATTTAAGAAGAGAAAGAGAAGGAGCGAGCTGAAGCCATCAGATAATTGGAGACGTTGAAAATGTCGGTAAACACTGAGAGAAAATGACACTAAATGTAAAGTCATGACAGGCCTGTCATGGACAGTATTTGACACTCTTCATCAGTACCTGGTACAGTTTATTAAGTCACAGAAAACATCCAAGATGTCAACACAAGACCAGCTCTTTATTACTCTGGTGAAACTGCGGCAGAACCCCTCAACCGATATGATGTGTGGAATATTTGACCTGGCACATAGCACTTTCCTGGATATATTCTCCCAATGGTTGGATTTGATGTACGCCAACATTTCTTTTTTGATTAAATGGCCTGATAGAGAGTGTATCAGAAGCACAGTACCAGCAGAGGTTCTCTTCCAGTACCCTAGAGTGACTGCAATTATCGACTGCTTTGAGATCAGAATTGAACACTCAAAGAAGCTGAAAACAAGGTGAGATATTTTTCTTTTTGATAGCATGCATAAAGTGTCGGGTTTTTGTAATACTTACCTGGCTGTCTGTGTATATGTACACAATTTATAGATAAGTATTACTAACGACTGTCTCTTCTCACAGAGCTATCACCTACTCAAAATACAAAAACTGGACAACAGTGAAGTATTTCATTGCATGTCACCCATCTGGCTCAATCACATATCTCTCCAAAGGCTGGGGAGGGAGGACTTCAGATGTGCATATTGTAAGGAACTCAGACTTCTTATCTCAGAAGTTCCACCATGCAGGAGATCAGGTAACAATTGAACTGTTTTTTTTCTTCTAATTTAAGTCTTATTTGTGAATTTATTATTTATCCATAGTTACAATTTTTGAGTTGCTGTTGAAGTAAAGTAGTGTTTTTAAGTATTTGTTATGTTTATTTCAGATTTTAGCCGACAGGGGCTTCACTTTGAAGGATGACTTTGCTGTTCTGGGTGCACAGCTCATCACACCGTCTTTGACGAGGGGCCGAAAACAACTGTCAGCCGAAGATGTTGCAAATTCAAATTCTGTGACTTCGAACATCAGAATTCACATTGGTAAGTATAGAGTCAGCAGTCAGATTCATACAGTATGTACATTTTAATGTTTTTGGTATTCAGAGTGTGCTGCATCATCAAATCACTGTTGCTACTTGCCGCTGACGTGGTTCACATTTCCCTAACTAAATTAATTACTGTAACAGATCCGGGTTAACAAGTGCTGAGACGTTATTCAATTAATCACATCAACGAGTACATGTGTAATCCCTACTTTGTAGGGTGTCTTAAGATAAAATGTTATCTTAAAAACATGTTATTCTATATTTAAATACATTGAACTGTTGTTCACATTTAGTGCAATATCAAGAGAACAGGATAACAGGAAGTTAACAGGGATCTTTCTTCACTTTAACATGAAAAATAAACACTAATTATAGGACACAATGCACTGACGATATGATATAACGGTCAACTGTGCTACTCCTGTGAAACTCGAACATAACAATGTAGATAAACAGCATTTTAACAACAAATATGTGATCTATATGATATATATGATATGTGATGAGAACAATATTTTATGCAACTTTTTTATACAACAAAGAAGTCATTATTGTTCCAATTGTGCCATTTAACAGGTTTCAATTGAGGCATAATGGATCTTTCTAATCAAAACCACCTGTTGTTTGTCTTTCCACAGGTCCCTGAACTTATCTCAGTGCTGCTCTGCTGCTGCACACCCTGTCACCCTGCCTCTGTTGCCTGACGCTCTGCCTCTGTTGCCTGACGCCCTGCCTCTGTTGCCTGATGTTCTGCCTCTGTTGCCTGACGCTCTGCCTCTGTTGCCTGATGCCCTGCCTCTGATGCCTGTCACCCTGCCTCTGATGCCTGACGCTCTGCCTCTGTTGCCTGACGCTCTGCCTCTGTTGCCTGACGCTCTGCCTCTGTTGCCTGTCGCCCTGCCTCTGTTGCCTGTCGCCCTGCCTCTGTTGCCTGATGTTCTGCTGCCACTTGTGTTGCCTGATGGGTCACTCCCTGTGCTGCTTTCGACTGGACTGTGTTCTGCCTACTTAGCAGAAACATATACAGTGCTTATCATAAATGAGTACACCCACTTTGAAAATAAGACAAGAACAATTTGATCAACATCACAATATCAACAATTATTATCTGATTAGTATCAAAGTCACAAGTATAGACAATATTGTACAGCCCATTATTCATTCTATTTGTAGCCTATGTATGTTTTCATGTTGTAAATAAATGTATAGGCTTTGTGATATTTGATTTTGTACATATAGTCTAGTAGTCTATGTTGATACTGAATGAAATAGCTATAATATGCTTCAAAATGAATTGGTATAAATAAATATGTAACTCTGTCACAGTGACTTATTTGTTGCCATTTTTACACTGATAGGAAATTCAACCACCTACCTGTGCATCTTTCAGCTCCCGAAGTTTGTGTAGTATGTGTTGTGACCAAAATGTTTGCATCACATTAATGGCACCACTGATGAAGTCCTCATCTCTTTGTACTCTGAATATCAGGCAGGTCTGAGGAGTCCAAGTGATGAAGTCTGCATACATCCGTTTGGTAACAAACATCTGCATTTGGACCTGTCAAATGCAATGCAATCATCATAACACTAATATTTACATTATAGACAGTATGCCTTCTGTGGATAATTATCTTGGATAATTGCACAAAATGCTGCAGACTTATTAGAGGTGTGCAGGTATATGAAATATTGAAATACCTGAGTGAAATATGCATGACTTCTCTTTAAGCTTGTCAGACTTTCCAGATGTCCTCTTTTGTCCTCAAGCCACTGTTGGTACCCAGTAGAGGTGTCTTGCCCCCACCTGTAAGGACACTTAGCCTCTATAACACCCTCACCACAGCAGTCACAGGAAACATAGCCATCACATGAAACCCCCAGGTATGGCATAGTTTGGCAGATGCGGAAGCCAGCCTTTCTGACGACCAGGTTCTGATGTGGTGCATCTACTGGGGCACAGATGTAAATGGTGGAAGACAGGTTGGCTGTGGGGCTCCTAGCTCCAAGAGCATATTGATAAGTGTCAATGGCATCTTGCTCATGGTGTCTCACCCACTGAATCCAGGGCTTCATTATTGGCCTGTGCCTTTGTTCACATATGGTGTTGATCAGTGACTTGCTAGGATGTTCTGTAGCTGTTAAGACACGGTGGGCTATGGAGCCTGTAATGCGACCAACCCGCTCTTGATGCCATTGCACACAAGATGCCTGACGGATGGTTGCTCTCTCCACATTTTCGATCTCCTCCTCAGTCACCTCATGCTGGCTGAAACACCATGGCTTCTTAAAAGGCCTGGAAAAACCCATGAAACTATTTAATACCACAGAGTCAGGTGATCTGTCAGCCAGCATAGTGAGGAACTGCTGCTGCTGTGATAAAGAGGCTTTTGGGGTAGGGGCTTTCCTTTTCCTTTTTTTTGACGTCTTGTCCTCTGTGTAAAAAGTTGTCTCTGCAACAAGAGCAGGCTCAATCTTTTTAACACACGTCTTGTTCCACTCACAGGCTTTGCTTGTGCATGGCACTTTGTTGATCCCCATGCGGACACAAGCCTCTAATTTAAAAAGAACAGCAGCCACATGGGAACAACTTTCACCAAGACTGAAAAGGAAGGAAAAAAATATCCATTAGCTCTAGATCACTAAAGATATTGGGCCTAAGATTTTACATAATACTGCCCTGTCTGGTGACATTTCTTTTGGAACATTTTGATATATTTGGACGTATTTATGGAACCCACGCACAAACAAATGAGCGCTTTCACAAACGTACCCTGCCATGCAGTTGCAGTGGGCAGCGACGATGGTACCCTCTCCCTTAACTGCTACCCACGTCTGGTGCGGCTTCTCTGTCAGTCACCCTCCAGGATGGCTTTACATCACATCGGAACAGGTAGGTATCCGATGAAGGTAGTTTATGATGGAGCACAACTCAAACAAAGTCACTTGTAAAAAGTTGTGTGCCTCCAGGGACCGATAGTTCTTTAGGCTGCTGTGTGTGTAAATCCCTGCGTGATAACGTACCGAGTCGTCAATAACCAATATGTATATGCAGCTCATGATGGCTATTGTGCAATAACAACCATTGTGTGATGAACAAATTCACTAAAACGTGCTAATTTCCTTGTCAGACATATACATTATGTGAGGTTTAATTAATCAGTTAACGTGATTTTGCCTCTTACCGGGTGATTCAACCAGGTATAGCAGAAGATATCAGGGAATGAAACTTCAGGCCATTTAGTCGGATCATTCGTCCACTCTTTAATAAGATATGGACAAGAATCCGATCCTATTAAATTAATTTTTTTAAGGTATCTATCCCTGTCAATGGGCTGCAATGTATCAATGTATGACATGTTTGTTTAACATTTAAAATCTGCGCGCTTACAGTGCTCCGTGCAAGGAGGAAATGATTGTTTTCCCCCTCGAAATGCCCCGCCCCCAACTGTGACGCGACGCCGACTGTATGTTATACCCTTTATATATACAGTCTATGGTTATACCCAGGGGCGTTGCCTGGACCTGGAAACATTCGGGGCTTAGCCCACAGTGGCGGCGCTACAGTCAAATGTTCTACTGCAAGACTCCCCACACGCACATACACAATTGCGCCATCTGGTGTCACAAACGTGTGCCTGCATTAGCTTTGTTACGGCAATGCATTGTGGGAGATTCTCATAGCACGTGAGGATCTCTTGAGGGTAAGGTGCCTGTATTATCTCGGTGGACAAAATGTATGTTTTTATTTTATAAGGACAATAACGTACTGTTGTGTTTGTTTAGTTTAATGTTAATTGTTTAATGCTCACAGTCACAGCAACATGCTTTTAGTGTGATTGGCTATTTGTTTTATATGATTTATCAACGTGATCATCAATAGCTAATCTGAGCACCAGAACCCAGCTCATAGTCCTTTTATGCTGTCCAATGAAATGCAGGTATGTGAGTTTTGTACACCAGTTTATTTATGTTTAATGTTTCACATTGCTCCACATGATGCCTTGACTACAAAGTCTTCTATGTTTCTACGCTTCTTCCTCTGCGTCACAGTTTCGGGAATATCAAGATCATTGCACAGGGCCTTGGTCTTGTCATAGACCTCATGTGCTTTCTCGTTACTTCGGTAACTTTTCAGTGTGTTCTCAACTGCTGTTTTGTAATCTACTGCCTACACCACGTCAATTGTTTCTTTCTGCAGGTATTTGTGCAGGCCCTGAGTGGTTGAGAGCAGTGTCTGGAACATGACAGCATGTAGATGGTACTGAATTTTCAAAGCTTGCTTTCCAGTCCCTTTGGTAGAGGGGCTAAAGGCTCCCTAAAGTCTTGATCAAAGCAGGGAGGTTTTTGACATGCCCAGCGAACAAGTTGTTTGTCCCCTACCTCTTGCTGTTTCTGAAATGTTTGCAATCTCTGATGGTGGAAAGAGATGTGGAGAAGAAAGAGTAGAGACACTCCAGGAGATCAACGCAGGTAGTTTTCTACACCAGTTTGTATAAGTTTAATGTTTCACATTGCTTGTGAAAAATATACTACCACTATACGATCACTGATGTTTTGTTTTGTTGTTATTTTGTAAAAGAGATAGCATGTGAGGATCTCTTAAGCAATGCAGCTCACGTGTCCTTTTTATATGCTGTCCATTGAAATGCAGGAAAGTAATCACCAGCTCTGAGTGATCTGTTGCCGAGGGGACACTACACCGGAGTTACATAGGCAGAGATAAAGTGCTCTTTTGGGGGGAACTCACCTCCTCTGGGGGGGCCGGGCCATGCTCCCCCAGGAAGACTTTTTTTAAATACTGAAGTCAAAAGCATCAATCTTGTGCACTTTGAGAGCAACATTAAGAGATATGGATACATCTCTCAACACCCATATGTCAAAAATAAATCAAAGAATCAGAAACGGGTTTATTATTTAAACACACTTCATTTTCCAATTAAATCATAAACTATGTCAAATTATTAGAAGTTGTTAGTAATCAGATTAAACAGAAAACAGGGATGGAAGGAGGAAATAATAATCCCTCATCACTTGCTGTTTGCGGTTGAAATGATCTCTTTTGCTGGCCAAACATGCTGGATGGAAAGCAGTGGTGTCTCACTTGCCTTGGCCCTGTATCTGCAGTCCCTAAATCAGTCATGTTACTCATTGACTCTTGTCTGTTCTGGTGTTCCTGTTCATTGTTGTCTCCATTGTTGTTCTTGTCTGTTGTATCTCCTTCTTGTGTGTCCCTTTATCCTGTTCCCCTTTCTTCATCCTCTACTCTGTTTGGCTCATCTGTGATGACTGTGTAGGTAAACACAAACAAGTATGTAAGTCAATCAGTTTCCAGCTCTGTCAAAGAAATGAATTTCAAGATACACACATGTGTCTTCATTAAAATGAGTGTCACCACACTGTCACACAATGTAATACTAACCAATTGAAAATAGTTACATTTACATTGGAAACCTCTTGTAGATATCACTATTAAGAGTAGTTATCTGCCAATAGGACAGAATCATTCCTATACAAATGCAGTTTGAGTAATTCACTTAATATATTTACTTAAAACTTTAATATAGTCATTTTCACTTAATACTCTAATATAGTCATCTTTCTGCATTCAAAACTAAGGAAAGCTGTACAATTTGACATGATCATGAGGAAAAAAGGCCTCCGACAATGCAGATCATTTTTTGATCATATCAATTTTAAGATGCGGGTCAAGGCTTCATATTTGGGAGCA